CGGACCCGCGGAGTACAAGGTGGAGACCGGCGGACGTGGCGCCACCGAATTCGGACGAGCGAGACAGCGTTCTGGAGCGACACTTCCCCTTCCGGCGGTCGCAAACGACGTGACCAGAAGTCCCGCCGCTTAAAGGGCAAGAGCCGATTTTACTGCTAGACCGAAGGGTGGGGCCAAGGGGGCGGGGCCAGACGGGGCGACGACAGGACTGGTGGGAAACAGTGGTTGCCAGGAGCAACGGCAAAGGCAGCAGCCAATGCCGAAGCCTAATGCCCTTCACCGTGTTCTCTCCGGCGTCCTAACCCCAGTAGGCTTCCTGCAGGGTACTTGAAGGGGGTTGAAGGGAAGGAGTGGGGGGGTCCTTTCTGCAAATGTTTGCTAGGCGGGCGGGCTTCGAGACGTTGGGGGTGACTGGCAGTCAACCTGTCGTGGTACTTTCTTTCCTGGAATTTACATAGTCATGAAGACAGCAAATAAGTACTGGATAAGTTCTGAGAAAGAAGAAAAATAAGGAAAATAAAATGGGGTGGTGGGGGAGAGTGGCAGCGTGAGGGTGGCACCAAAGAGGTGACTTTTTTTTTTTCGAGATTTTTGCTATAAGGTCCATGTGTTTGTAGAAAGAGATAGAAAGTGAGAGATCACCACCCCTCCACACACTTCCAACCCCCCCGTGCTGGCCTTACGGTAGTCCCTTCTCCTCCATTCTCCTCTTGGGATTTTGGGCACCGGTACACAGGCGCCTGGTGTATTTTAAGCCGCTGCGTCAGGGACTGGAACTGCGGTGGATCATTTGGGAGTCCAGCGCCTTAATCACTGCCACCTGCTGGTCCCCAAAGAGGTGAGATTTTGGGGGTTTTTTAAAGAGGTTTTTTGTTATAGGGTGCGTGGGTTTGTCAAAGAGACAGAAAGCGAGAAATCACCTCCCAAGTGGGTATAAGTCCCTCTGCAATCCCTTCTCTATTCCCCTCTGGGGATCTTGGGAATGCATGCACACACACCTGCTGTGAGTTTTAAACCCTGGTCCAGGACTTGAACCACAGCAGACTTACATGGGAATTCAGTGATGTAAATGCTACGCCATCTGCTGGTCCCCAATGATGTGACTTTTGAACTGAGCGAGCCAGGCAAACATCTGGAGAAAAAATTTTACATGCAAAGAAACACCCATTCTAACTTCTTTTGAAGTGTCAGCAAAACAGAAAGCAATATTCTTGGCTACTAATGTACTTTCACTGGTAAGACTTAAATTACCAGCAAATGAGATTCCAGTCTGCTTAGAAATTAATCTTTTTTTTTTTTTTAAATAGAGAGGTTTTTGCTATAGGGCGCGTGCGCTCACCAGAGAAAGAGAGAGACAGACAGAAAGTGAGAAATCCCCCTCGCCCCCAGGAGGGATGGCCAGGCCCCAATCCCTTCTCCTCCATTTTCCTCTTGGGATCTTGGGCACTTATGCACGTGCACCTTGCATGAGTTTAAGCCACCGGATCCGGGACTCGAGCCACGGTCAACTATATGTGAGTCCAGCGACATAGCCATTACACCAACTACTGGTCCCAGAAATTAATCTTAAAGGTCAGCCAGTGGCCTTTAGATGAAGGGAGCCAGATGCCACATGGTGACCGTTCAAGTCCTATGACTTGAGAAACACTCGTGGTGTATGTGCATGTGTGCCCAAAATCCTGACAGTGTGACGAAATGGAGGAAAAAGAATTGCACCATGACCTTGCCCCATTGAGGAGCGCTTTTCCCTCTGTCTTTGGCAATAAAAAAGGAAAAAGAAAAAAAATCTAAAAAGATACTGAGTAGAATTTTCTTGTTGTTTGTAGATACAGGGACTACAGTTTAACAAAGCCTTCTCATAAAAGACTACTAGGAACAAACTTATAGTTTCAACCAAGTTAAATTTATTAACTTGCTGCATTGTGGGAGACTACATTCCAAAGGAACCTGGACCCATCCCCGCAATGGAAGGGTGGTTAGTAAGCCATGGGAAAGGGGGAGTCTTGGTAAAAATTAAATGAAGCAGTATTTTTGATAGGCTCAAAGTAAAGCAGAACTCTGTGTGACATCAGGTTTATATCAGGGCTGGACCTGAACTGAGAAGCAGACTCAGGGTCTTCTTTCTTGGAAACCTCGAAGTTAGGATAAGTGTGGGTGTTGGGTCTGAGTACTCTTTATCTAAAGTTTTATACCTGGATTGAAAAATACTGTCAAAGTGACCTGCGTGGCCCAGATCCTCTGGGCAAAAATGGGATTGTTCCATTCACACTCATATCATTTCAAACAGCAAAGTCTACATTCTGTTATTTTAGAAAACATTTGTCAGCACTACATCCTGGATGGTAATTAACAAAAGCAGTTTTTGCAGAATAAAAAGGCACCATATATTCCACAGTTTAATGAGAGTATTCAACATTGGGGGATCTATGAGATTTCAAGCATAACGAATACATAAGCAGCTCTCAATCATAACTGGTGAGAATATAAATTGATACAACCTTACAAGAAGAGAGTTTTGCTATAAAATAAAAGCCCAGTAACTATGGTACAGTGGTAACAAAAGTGCCTTGCAAGGCTGGAAGTTGTATGGCTGATTGCAGGTTCGGATCTCTAGGTGGGCTTGACCACACTGCAGGTGCACAGATTCCTAGTCCCCTGTGGAGCTGAAGGATTGGGAAAATGGGGTCACAGCATGACAAGATTCTGTCTAGGGTGATTCATTCTCTCTTTCTCTAGCACACACTCTTTGTACCCGTAAATAAATCAATAAATGCTGGATAGTTGGATATATGACAGAAAATCCTTGGAAGTATTGCCTAGTACCTCCCCACCACCACTACCACCATTTTTTTGGTACCTTCTACTGATTATGCCTGTTAAACCAAACTCCACTGGCCTGAGAAGGCCTCTTTATTTGCATACATGAGAGCATGTCAACAAACCACAACCTAACTTTGGAGTCTGTTCCCCCAACAAACAGCTGAGTCACAGCAGCCCTGTTTCAGTCGATCACACGGTTGTGTTCAAACTGTGCTCAGGAGACAAACACTGAGCCTTAGCCAATCCAACTGTTGTTCTACCTCACACCCCTCACTTCCGTTTTTCTTTCCTTGACCACGGGGCAACCCAGAGTTCCTCAGAACCAGTTCTGGGAATTGCCTGATTTGCAAATTGTTCTTTTCTCAGTCAAACTCTACTAAATTAGACTTGTCTACAGTTTTTCTTTTAATATACCCAAAGTACAGGAAGAGAAAACAGGAGTAATCTAGGGCCGAAATGAAATTTCTCTGAGGAACTCTTAAGTTTATGTGCATGAGAGAAAGACAACAGGAACATGCATCCGTCTGGCAGTATTTATTTCTACGTTGTGCTCTAGAATATTCAGAATTAGTACTCTGCAATTTCACTTCTGGCTTTGGGAACACCAACATTTAAATTACGGTGACACCACTTATGAACAGCATGCTGTAAAAATTACTTAATTTTCTCTAGCATTCAGTTTCTTTGTCTTTAAAGTGGGGGAGAGGAGGATAATAGTACTGAACTCTTAAGATTGTTGTAAGGATTGAAGGAGATAAATTTGTATCCAGTGTCTAAAGCAATATCAACATTAATCCTATTTTCTTTTTTGATTAGGTATATTTTTGAAATGTATTACATGGAAAGTGTATCACTTTGTAATTTTTTGAAAAGTAAGTTTACTTGTCTGCTGGCAAATCATCCTAGCCTAAAGATAGAGCAATTATTCCCAAGTGATAGTGGGTTAAAGGATCATCTATGAGAATTTGGCCCGTTCCCTCAGACATTTCAAATTTCCTAAGTCTGGGGTGGAACTGAAAAAAATATATATATAATTTTTTTCAGACCAGTCAGTGGCGTGGTGGTTAAGGAGGTTGCAGCCACTTGGCCAACTGCATGGTTCAAGTCCCGGACCCTGCAGCTTAAAAAATATGGCGTGTATGTGTGAGTGCCCAAAATCACAAAAGGAGAAATGGAGAATGGATAGTGGCATGACCATCTCCCCAGGACAGAGGGAGACAGTCATGCCACTATCACTTTCCCTCTTTCACTCTCCAGGAAGTGGATGCTCCCTAGCCAATTAAAAAAGAAAGAAAGAAAGAAAGAAAGAAAGAAAGAAAGAAAGAAAGAAAGAAAGAAGACAAAAATTTACATTTTTTATTTTTTTAAGAATTATTTTTTGTTTAACTTTGTTATTATTTTCCCATTTGATCAGAGAGAGAGGGAAAATGAGAAAGCAAGCCACTCAGTCTGGGATTTGAACTGCGGTTGGCCATGTGGGAGTCCAGCGCCCTTAACTACCATGCTACCTGCCAGTCCCTGCATTTTTAAATTTTTTAAAAGAATTATCTATTTAATTTTTTCTGTTATTATGATTTATTTTTTAATTTGACCAGGTAGAGCCAGAGGAAGGGAAAGTTAGAAAGCAAGCTGCCAGGTCCAGG